CAGGGGTAGGAGCACAATTGATAGTGTAGACAGCAGTGAGGACAGCTTCCCCCCAAAAGCTTTCAGGGCAGGAAGAAGAGAGAAGGAGAGCGCGAGTAGTGTCAAGAATATGCCTATGTTTCCGTTCAGCACGGCCATTTTGCTGGGACGTGCCAGCACAGGAACGATGAGGCAGTGTACCATGACGTTGAAGAAAAGAAAGAAAATCGGAATCCCGATACTCCATAGCATTGTCAGAGCGAAAAAGTTTGATGGTTTTGGAAAATTGGGTGTGGATCATTTGGGCAAATCAATAATAAAGGGTTTTAAGTTCAGACCGAGTTTTCATGAGAAAAATCCAAGTAAACTGTGAAAAATCATCAATAAAAACAACAAAATAACGAGATCCCCCCATAGTAGTAGTAGGGGAGGGGCCCCAAATATCCGAATGTATAAGATCAAATGGTGCACAGGAAACAGAAGTACTTTTATTGAAGGATAAAGCAGGTTGTTTGGCAAGTTGACAGGGTATACAATCGAAAGTATCTGGAGTTACATGACCCAATTGTCCACTAGAAACCAAAGACTTTAAGCGAGTAATAGAAATATGTCCTAAGCGACAATGCCAAAGATGAAAAGGAGATAATGAGGAAGCAGATGCAGGAGCAGCGATTTGAGGAGAGTCAGGAACATGAAGGTGAATGAGCTCATAGAGACGTCCATGCTTACGGCCGATCCCAATAGTCTGCCTCGTCTGAGGGTCCTGCACCAAACAATGAGTAGCAGAAAAGGTGACAGTTAGACCAAGTTCACATAATTGACCAATGGAGATAAGGTTTAGAGTGAGAGCAGGGAGATGATAAAATTGAGGTAAAGATAAAGAAGATGTGGAAACAGTACCAATATGACGGACAGTCATGAGAGAACCATCAGCAGTTTGAATTGAGGGAATATGAGGAGATGATGAGATGGAAGAAAATATAGTTGAACTGGAGGTCATATGATTACAACAGGCAGAGTCAAAATACCAAGAAGAGTTACCTGGAATTACAGACAAAGCAGTATGAGGAGGTGTACCAGTTGGGGGGAGAAGGTGTTTGAGCATGGCCTCGACATCCGTTGGAGAAAAGAGAGGGGTAGACGGAGCAGGAGACTCGGAGAGACCCTCAGCGGCAGCAGCAGTAGTGTGATGAGACTGATTCCCAGAATGAGACTGATTCCGGGAACGATGAAAGCTCCCCCGAGGAGAGCCACCGCGAGAAGAGTGGCTGTTGGAGGATGAGCGGGATGGATTGCGAAAACAATCCTGTTGCAGATGACCAGGACTAAGTTTGTTGCAGTATCGGCAGGTTCGGACAGGGCAATTGACCAGGAGATGTGTGGAAGGAAGGCCCCGATTCTGGCAGTAGAGGCAGGCAGTGGTCCGCTGGGTGAATGATGGCCGGTACGGAGGAGTGGCAAGAACAGAGTCCACATGATGAGTTTGGAGAGTACCAAGATGAGTCTCCTCTGAGAGCAACTCAGAAATAGCTTGTTCCAGAGTGGGCAAGGGATGGCGATGAAGAAGAGAGGCACGTACGGGCTCAAAGGATGAAGTGAGAGCCATGAGAAAGTGCACCAACCTTTGCTGATTACGATAAGCAGTAAATAAAACAGCATCTTCTCGGTGAGGCCAAGTCGGTTCGGAAAGAGCAAGCTGGTCCCAAACGGAGTACATTTGAGAAAGGAAGTCATTGATGGATTGACTAGATTCTTGGCGCATCCTATGAAGTTGGCTCTGAAGTTGATATTGATGAGGAAGACCAGTGGTCTGGTATCGTTCTTTCAAAAAATCCCAGATGTCTTTGGCAGGAGTAGTGACAGAGTCAAGCTGAAAGCGACCAAACTGAAGACTGATAGACGTAACAGAAGTATTTCGAAACCAGGTAATGATTTGGTAATTCTTACTGTCCCATTCCTCAAGACGATCCTCATATGTAGGAGTAGCAGGAGAAACAGTGGTTTCAGCAGTGTCTTTCATCGGTTGGGTCATGTCCCCGATGATAATTCGCCAGAGCTTCTTTCCTTTGAGGAAGGAAGACATGGCTTGGGCCCATAGAACATAGTTTGAACCATTCAAAATAACGGAAATGGGATGGGAGGCATCAGGACGATCCATAATACGAGTTGAGTAATACGAGTTGAGTAGGGTTAAAGCAATAGGAATAGACCTGTAGGAGCAAAATTTGGTAAAACAGAGTGTACCAGTGAGTCCGGAAGGTCAAAAATAGCCAGGAAAGGTATGCTGGACAGAGATGATGTCAGCAATGATGTCAGCGGCGCACGTTAGCAGAGTGCAGGGAGGAGCACGTTAGCAGGAAGGCGGCGGCGCACGGTAGCGGACAGGCGCAGGCGCGGCGCATGGTAGCCGTTTTGGCGCACGCGGGTGCACTGTAGTGAAGCGGCGCACGAAAGGCGAACAGTAGTAGGCGCGGCGTACGGGAGTGGTGGGGCTGACGTCAGCCGCGGTTGTGTGAGCGCGTGGGGGCGCGTGGCGGAAGTGAGTAGCAACAGAAGGCGCGTGCGGGTGCGTGTGAGAGTGGTGGCAGAGCTGGTGACGCGCAGAAGACAAAGGCGGCGCGTGTGGGCGCGTGGAGGGTGTTCTGAGAACGGGCTTGGTGCCGTTGGAATCGTGAGGAAATTTCGAGCGGTTTGATGTATGCCACTGTGTACGGGACTAAACACCAAAATCGAAAATTGCCAGAAATGCAACACTGGGCTCTGATACCATGAAACAATAATTTGAGAGAGTGATAGAGAATAGAGAGAGAGAAATACTGAATTGTTCAGTTGTTGTATATCTGTGTAATTACAAGGAGATGTACACCTCTCTTTTATAGAGAGGAAAAGAGACATAGGGTGCCTTAGCACCGAAAGCATAACGGAAAGAGGGAACAACAATTATGAAAGCATAAACATAATGATAGACTACAATGATGACTAACACTACTAATATACAATATTAATATACAATAATATACTAACATCCCCCCGCAAACTCAAGGAGGGAAAGCATCAACTAAGTTGAGTTTGGAAACAAGATCATGGAAGCGGCCAGGAGGATGAGCTTTAGTGAAGATATCAGCGGGTTGATCGACTGAAGCAATAGGGAGAAGATGAACAGTACCACAGGTAACATGCTGGCGAATGAAATGACAATCAATCTCAATATGTTTGGTGCGATCATGAAAAACATCATTGTACTTGTGATGCCACGAAGAAAGAGAAATTATAGATATTGGCTCCTAGTTCAAAGCAACAAGGGCTTGGAAGCAAATGAGGAATTGGAGACCGCTCCACAATCCATAATCCCTCCGAGGATCTGAACTACCTGACCCATTGATGGCCTATTCATTCTCATCATCTTTGGATGCACCAACAAGCAACTTACAAATTCTCGCATACCTCTTCAAATAACAATTGTTTCTCCAACCTTATGGTCTAATAGGCGAGGACATCTCCACCTTTTACGACTACACTTCAGCCCAGACTGGAAAGAATTTAAAACTATCCTTTCTTGCAAATTTGATCAGTGTTTCTTCTGCCTGATATCAATTCAAAGAGCATCATACCGTAGCTGTACACATCAGCTTTGGTGGTAATAGCCACCCCTTAATATCCATTCTGGTGCCAAGGATAGCCCGTTGTCCCTCTCATTGCCAGTTAGAACCCGTGCTATTTCTTCGGCCCAAAGAGCTTTTGCCAGAACCAAAATCTGCTAGTTTTCTGTGCGGGAAGTCCATGGTCCTAATAGATAATGTTTGTGGCTTACGTCCAATGTATGATGCAGTCCCTCGCAATTTTTGTGGATAAACCAACCACCTGTAGCTGTCCCTAGGATGCAACTTGGTACCTTGTTTTCCAGTCCAGAGCTTCTTGAACTCATTTCATGGAAGAGATTGGGATATGCAAGGATCCATCGATCTGTATAATCATATACCAACAACTTGCTTATACCTTCAGAGCAAGAACCCTGGAAGCCGAAACAGTTAACATGTTGTATCGGGTTCCCAAGGGTGCGACTTCTACTCGGAATTTGTCTTCCTCTCCTTGGTTGATGCTTTCAGCTTCTTCACAGCTATGACAGTGGAATCAGGCAATGTCCCTTTGAAACAAAGCCCCAAAACCACCTTCTCCCATTTCTTCCGAGAAAGTCTCTTGGTGCTTTTTGCAGATCTTTTGTATCTAAATGCAACAATGAACCATCTAGCGCTTTTGTTCCAACCAACCTCCTTCCAATAACAACAAATACAAAGGCCTAGCAGTACTACTGCTGCAACTGAACCCACTACAGCACCAAATAATATCCCGTTTTTAGCCATTACAGCACCAATATAATCCCTTTTTTACTTTTAGCTTTTGGAAAACGTGGAAGCAGCATGTCTGAGATAAAGAGTGTTTCCACTACCATCTTGCAGATTCATGAGCTCCCCAATCCAAATTGAACACCCATTACTATTCATAG